GTAGTTTAGAAACTCATTTCTATTTCAGGGGATTGAAATGTGAATTATCTATCAAAAATTGGTAGTATTGATATATTTGAAAATTGATACAAGATTCTAGCAGAAGGTTTTTTGGCTTTCTCACAAAATTGAATGCTCCAATTCGTTCTGCTTTCCTCCTAACCCGAAGGCTTCTATTTATACAAATATTTGAGGCGAAATTATTAGTCTCTTACGTCATTCTATACATCATATGGCACAATAATTTGTGTTTTTTCTATCAAGAGCCTTCCGGCCCCTCCATTATGCAACTTCTTTAAATCACATCTTCTTTAAGTGTTTGTTCTTGCATGCAACTGTCCTCATTTTTATCTTGTTATCTTTGCTTTTGTAAGATTCCTCCAAAATGGTAGGTCCATCATTCTTTATTTTTGTCTACATGTGGTACAATCTATTGCTTCACATGCATGTTGTAAGGTTGAGATACTTCCTGACATTTGATGGGTATCAAATTTGTTGATAAAGTCTTTGAGGATTTCAGATTTTTTGATTTCCATCATTAGCAAGTAGGGTCCATCCTTCATATTGGTATAAACATCTAAATCTTTTTGCGTAAAGATTTTTGGCCATGTTATAGAGAACTTTATATCCAAGAACTCTACGGTTCTTAATCCATGCTCTGGTAAATTTTGGTAATGATTTGTCAATTTCTCTAATGTCCATGGTGAAATTTCTTCCAACGTATCAAAGTGTTATAATGTGTTCTGCTAGATAGAATATTCCTCCATCAACTTCTGGACCGATGGTATAAATTTTTTGATAAATGGATCTTCCTTGGGCATATCTGGAAACTTCAAATTTAAATGTACCATCAAATCTTTCAATTTCTTTAAGATTTTTATCTGGATAGATTAAATCTAAATATCCATAATCTGCTGTCATTTTTACCATCGTTGGTTCAGAATCTTTCATCATTACCATCGTTGGGTAAATGTGATCTCCCGGTAAAACAAAATATGAATCACGTGTTTGTAATTCATACATCATTTTAGTAATCATTTTATACTCGTCTTCTTTTGGTGACAAAGAGACTTCATCCTTTTCATCTGGTTGTATACTGATAGATTTGGTATGCCCTTCATTAATAACAATCTTTTTAGAACTTTGAATAATAATATCCTTTTTTGGTTCACTGTTTCTTCCGCTTGGTGGATCACTCAGAGTTTGTACCTGTTTGGCATCAACATGTTCGTATCCAACAGTATCTTTGGTATCCAGTGATCTTAATTAAGCTTCAATAGCTTCAATTCGATCAAT